TGTGACGACACGTACGCAAGGCCCACGGTGTAGGTTGTGGAATCGTAGAACTGTCAATTAAACAAAGATTCTAAGCTGAGGAGAAGAGGAGGGCTCGAGAGAGCTTCGATCTAAATACTTGGTATGGGTCGCTAAGCGAGACCACGTGATCCGAATTGTGGTGACGGTTAGAACCGTCACAGGGTGTTTCTATTAGCTAACCTTTATACTTAGGAATAATAAGTTAAATAAACGGAGGATATTACTTAGGAACAAGGAATAATAACTAATAATAAGCGTAAACGTAGGGATAAGAAGTATGTCACGAATCACGTGCTAGCAGGTGACGAGTGAAGACCAGGCGGCGTCCTGACAGGTTAAACATTATCATGGACTCTTATAGCGAATAGGGACGCTTAGACTAGCTAAGCGATACAGGGATTTCTCTTGGTTAGTTATCACGTGATGGAAACGAGCGACATGGCCGACGAGTCGACCATGTCGGCCATGGTCGAACAGTCGACCATGGCGACCACAGAGAACGAAGGTTCTATATAAGACTGGCACGTCTGCCATTAGATAGGAGCTTCGTGCTCAACTTAGTTATCAATCTTATCATATTAGTTTGACATCTTTGATACAAGTAACGAGTTCACTTCCAAGTGAACAACCCGATAGTCTTCTTCTTATCATAGCATACCAACCAGCGAACACCCAGCCAAGTTTAGTTAGCCAGTTTGAGTATTCGTTACACTTGGCCAAGCGAATGAAATCCTGTCAAATGAAATCCAGCTCCGTCACAATTACCGTCTCTAGAGGATATCTACTTAGTAGTATCTAGAGATAAAAATACCCCTTATTTATAATATCTACAACTTTAGTAACTAAACTACCCCTTTAAAAGTAGGTTATGAATTATAGGGTTCTTTAGTTAGTAGATAATTATCTAAGGAGTATTATAGTAATTTTTAATTAATTAGAGGGTAGTTTAGTTAATTACTAATTAGAAAATTATAAGTAACTTAGTTAATATAGTAAATATAATAACTAGTATATATAGTAGAATAGAAGTAATGACCTTTAGGGTTAGGGTTAGAGTTTAGGGTTTATAATTAAACTATAAATAAGTTATATAAATACTATATATTTTAAGATATATACGTCCTAGTACTCTAGGAGAAGAGACTACGTAATACTCTTTTAGATACTCCTATATATATAAGTATACTTAGATCTATATTACTTATTTAGTTAAAGACTATATACCTAGATACATAGTATCGCTTAAATATTATTTAGATAAAATAGCACTGATTAGTATTAGTTCACCTATGACTCGCAAAGAGTAGTGTAATAAAGTGAAGTAATCAGTCCATGATTCAGTGTCAAATTGCTTAGAGAAGTGAAGCTACCTAGATATGCCAGTGCTGAGTCACGTCAAACAACAGATGACTGTAGCGACAATATCTAAATCCAAAGCAGAACTGTCGCCAAACTCAACAAAAATGAACTAGAATTACCAGCACTCTATTCTCGTATCTATTCCTCATCACCATCTGACATCTAACCACCCAATATCTAACCACCTCTACCAAAACCATACATTCAAACAACATCTTTAGCGAACGATCCCTACCAGGTTCTGAATCCAACATAACTACAGATTTTACCCCTTCCTTTTCTCACCCGGCCCCTCAAATACCACGGTCCCAATGTAACAAATAGTCAACTCACCATCGGTGGTCGCAACAGGGGGACTGGTATGGAATTTCAGATCGGAAGAGAGGAATTTCGTACACCACTGTAAGTAACCAATTAGCGATCGTCCTAAACAACCCTTTATCTCAAAATAGAGAAAGAGGGAGGGATGGAAGGAAGAGGGTGGAGATACATACCGTCGTCTCCTTAGTCCTCGCCTGCACAATAACATTCCGCCACGTAAAGGGGCCCCAATCCCACTTTCCCAGTTCTTGCAACTCAATCGCCAAAATCGCATGCGTATACGTCCCATTCCCCCCTCCAATAGCAGAATCATACGTCACGCTCCCCATAAACCCCTTCCTCCCATCTCCCCCCTTACCATCTATCAACCAACCCCCCGCACTCGCCAAAACCCAACTATCCAACCACAAATTCCTCGACCCATCCCAGACATACAAACTCGTCAACGCATCACCCGGATACACCTGCACCTCCTCAGATATATTCCCCGCTTTCTTGCAGCAGAAAAAGGGGAGGTGGAACCATTGTCCGCCCTTGTTGCCCGGGGCGATCTTTTGGTTGGTGAGCACGTTTTGGAGGAGGTCACCTTCTTGGAGGCCGGGCCAGATTGCGTTGACGGCTCCAGATGGGGAGGCGTGAGGGCGGGAGCCGGGGGGGATGAGGAGGGTGGATTCGAAGCGCAGGATTGGGGCGTGGGTGTCGAAGGATAGGGTGTGGAATGTTAGGTTGGCTATTTCGCGTTTGGTTGGGGGGGTGT